GAGTAAGAGTATTACAGGAAGACAGGGGAAACAACAAGAGTAAGGGGTATTACAGGAAGGATGGGGAAAAACAGAGTAAGAGGTATTACAGGAAGAGAGAGGGGAAAACAACAGAGTAAGAGATATACAGGAAGACAAGGGGGAAAAACAACAGAGTAAAGGTTATTACAGGAAGACAAGGGGGGAAAACAACAGAGTAAGAGGTATTACAGGAAGACAAGGGGAAAACAACAGAGTAAGAGGTATTACAGGAAGACAAGGGGAAAACAACAGAGTAAGAGGTATTACAGGAAGAGATGGGGAAAACAACAGAGTAAGAGGTATTACAGGAAGACAAGGGGGAAACAACAGAGTAAGGGGTAATACAGGAAGAGATGGGGAAAACAACAGAGTAAGAGCTATTACAGGAAGAGATGGGGAAAACAACAAAGTAAGAGGTATTACAGGAAGAGATGGGGAAAACAACAGAGTAAGAGCTTTAACAGAATAGATGGGGAAAACAAAACAGAGTAAGAGGTATTACAGGAAGACGAAGGGGAAAACAAACAGAGTAAGAAGGGTATTACAGGAAGACAAGGGGAAAACAACAGAGTAAGAGGTATTACAGGAAGAGATGGGGAAAAACAACAGAGTAAGAGGTATTACAGGAAGACAAGGGGGAAACAACAGAGTAAGGGGTATTACAGGAAGAGATGGGGAAAACAACAGAGTAAGAGCTATTACAGGAAGAGATGGGGAAAACAACAGAGTAAGAGCTATTACAGGAAGACAAGGGGAAAACAACAGAGTAAGAGGTATTACAGGAAGACAAGGGGAAAACAACAGAGTAAGGAGGTTATACAGGGAAGACAAAGGGAAAACAACAGAGTACAGAGGTATTCCAGGAAGGACAAGGGGAAACAACAACAGAGTAAGAGGTATTACAGGAAGACAAGGGGGGGAAAAACAAACAGAGTAAGAGGTATTACAGGAAGAGATGGGGAGGAAACAACAGAGTAAGAGCTATTCTACAGGAAGAGATGGGGAAAACAACAGAGTAGAGGTATTACAGGAAGACAAGGGGGAGAAAACAACAGAGTAAGAGGTATTACAGGAAGACAAGGGGGAAAACAACAGAGTAAGAGGTATTTACAGGAAGAGATGGGGAGGAAAACAACAGAGTAAGAGGTTATTACAGGAAGAGATGGGGAAAACAACAGAGTAAGAGTGTGTATACAGAAGAGATGGGGAAACAACAGAGTAGAGGTATTACAGGAAGAGATGGGGAAACAAACAGAGTAAGAGGTATTACAGGAAGACAAGGGGAAATACAACAGAGTAAGATGGTATTCCAGGAAGAGATGGGGAAAACAACAGAGTAGAGGTATTAACAGGAAGAGATGGGGGAAAACAACAGAATAAGAGGTATTTACGGGAAGACAAGGGGGGAAAAACAACAGAGTAAGAGGGATTACAGGAAGAGATGGGGAAACAACAGGTAAGAGGTATTCCAGGAAGAGATGGGGAAAACAACAGAGGGTAAGAGGTATTACAGGAAGACAAGGGGAAAACAACAGAGTAAGAGGTATTACAGGAAGAGATGGGGAAAACAACAGAGTAAGGGGTATTACAGGAAAGAGATGGGGAAAACAACAGAGTAAGGGTATTACAGAAGAGATGGGGGAAACAGCAGAGTAAGAGTTATTACAGGAAGAGATGGGGAAAAACAACAGAGTAAGGGTATTACAGGAAGAGATGGGGGGAAAACAACAGAGTAAGAGGTATTACAGGAAGAGATGGGGAAAAACAACAGAAGTAAGAGGTATTACAAGGAAGACCAGGGGGGAAAACAACAGAGTAAAGGGGTATTCCAGGAAGAGATGGGGAAAACACAGAGTAAGAGGTATTACAGGAAGAGATGGGGGAAAACAACAGAGTAAGAGGTATACAGGAAGACAAGGGAAAACAACAGAGTAAGAGGTATTACAGGAAGAGATGGGGGGAAACAACAGAGTAAGAGTTTATACAGGAAGAGATGGGGGAAACAACAGAGTAAGAGTATTACAGGAAGAGATGGGGGAAACAACAGAGTAAGAGGTATTTACAGGAAGAGATGGGGAAAACAACAGAGTAAGAGGGTTATTACAGGAAGACAAGGGGAAAACAACAGAGTAAGGAGGTATTACAGGAAGAGATGGGGAAAACAACAGAGTAAGAGGTATTACAGGAAGAGATGGGGAAAACAACAGAGTAAGTGGTATTCCAGGAAGACAAGGGGAAAACAACAGAGTAAGAGGGTATTACAGGAAGAGATGGGGAAAACAACAGAGTAAGAGGTATTACAGGAAGAGATGGGGAAAAACAACAGAGTAAGAGGTATTACAGGGAAGACAAGGGGGGGAAACAACAGAGTAAGAGGTATTACAGGAAGACAAGGGGGAAACAACAGAGTAAGAGGTATTACAGGAAGAGATGGGGAAAACAACAGAGTAAGAGGTATTACAGGAAGACAAGGGGGAAACAACAGAGTAAGGGGTATTACAGGAAGAGATGGGGAAAACAACAGAGTAAGAGGTATTACAGGAAGGACAAGGGGGGAAACAAACGAGTAAGAGATATTACAGGAAGACAAGGGGGAAAACAACAGAGTAAGAGGTATTACAGGAAGACAAGGGGGAAACAACAGAGTAAGAGGTATTACAGGAAGAGATGGGGAAAACAACAGAGTAAGAGGTATTACAGGAAGAGATGGGGAAAACAACAGAGTAAGAGGTATTACAGGAAGACAAGGGGGAAACAACAGAGTAAGGGGTATTACAGGAAGAGATGGGGAAAAAACAACAGAGTAAGAGGTATTACAGGAAGACAAGGGGGAAAGGGGAAACAACAGAGTAAAGAGATATACAGGAAGACAAGGGGGGAAAAACAACAGGTAAGAGGTATTACAGGAAGACAAGGGGGGGAAAACAACAGAGTAAGAGGTATTACCAGGAAGACAAGGGGAAAACAAACAGAGTAAGAGGGTATTACAGGAAGACAAGGGGAAAACAACAGAGTAAGAGGTATTACAGGAAGAGATGGGGAAACAACAGTAGTAAGAGGTATTACAGGAAGACAAGGGGGAAACAAACAGAGTAAGGGGGTAAACAGGAAGAGATGGGGAAAACAACAGAGTAAGAGCTATTACAGGAAGAGATGGGGGAAAACAACAGAGTAAGAGGTTATTACAGGAAGAGATGGGGAAAACAACAGAGTAAGAGCTATACAGGAAGAGATGGGGAAAAACAACAGAGTAAGAGGTATTACAGGAAGCAAGGGGAAAACAACAGAGTAAGATGGTATTACAGGAAGACAAGGGGTAAAACAACAGAGTAAGAGGTTATTACAGGAAGAGATGGGGGAAAACAACAGAGTAAGAGGTATTACAGGAAGACAGGGGGAAACAACAGAGTAAGGGGTTATTACAGGAAGAGATGGGAAAACAACAGAGTAGAGACTATTACAGGAAGAGATGGGGGAAAAACAACAGAGTAAGAGCTATTACAGGAGACAAGGGGAAAACAACAGAGTAAGAGGTTATTACAGAAGACAAGGGGGGAAAACAACAGAGTAAGAGGTATTACAGGAAGACAAGGGGAAAACAACAGAAGTAAGAGGTATTCCAGGAAGACAAGGGGGAAACAAAACAGAGTAAGAGGTATTACAGGAGACAAGGGAAAACAACAGAGTAAGAGGTATTACAGGAAGAGATGGGGAAAACAACAGAGTAAGAGCTATTACAGGAAGAGATGGGGAAAACAACAGAGTAAGAGGTATTACAGGAAGACAAGGGGGAAAACAACAGAGTAAGAGGTATTACAGGAAGAGATGGGGAAAACAACAGAGTAAGAGGTATTACAGGAAGACAAGGGGGAAACAACAGAGTAAGAGGTATTACAGGAAGACAAGGGGAAAACAACAGAGTAAGAGGTATTACAGGAAGAGATGGGGAAAACAACAGAGTAAGAGGTATTACAGGAAGAGATGGGGAAAACAACAGAGTAAGAGGTATTACAGGAAGAGATGGGGAAACAACAGAGTAAGAGGTATTACAGGAAGAGATGGGGAAAACAACAGAGTAAGAGGTATTACAGGAAGACAAGGGGGAAAACAACAGAGTAAGAGCTATTACAGTTGAAACAGAGAGACTAAAAGGATATAATGTCTTTTACTCCAAAACAGAGGTTGAGGCCCCAGCCACCCCACTATACATCCTATTGGGCAAGAGGAGAACCTATAGGTCATATTGGGCAAGAGGAGAACCTATAGGTCATATTGGGCAAGAGGAGAACCTATAGGTCATATTGGGCAATAGGAGAACCTATAGGTCATATTGGGCAAGAGGAGAACCTATAGGTCATATTGGGCAAGAGGAGAACCTATAGGTCATATTGGGCAAGAGGAGAACCTATAGGTCATATTGGGCAAGAGGAGAACCTATAGGTCATATTGGGCAAGAGGAGAACCTATAGGTCATATTGGGCAAGAGGAGAACCTTAGGTCATATTGGGCAATAGGAGAACCTATAGGTCATATTGGGCAAGAGGAGAACCTATAGGTCATATTGGGCAAGAGGAGAACCTATAGGTCATATTGGGCAAGAGGAGAACCTATAGGTCATATTGGGCAAGAGGAGAACCTATAGGTCATATTGGGCAAGAGGAGAACCTATAGGTCATATTGGGCAAGAGGAGAACCTATAGGTCATATTGGGCAATAGGAGAACCTATAGGTTCATATTGGGCAAGAGGAGAACCTATAGGTCATATTGGCAAGAGGAGAACCTATAGGTCATATTGGGCAAGAGGAGAACCTATAGGTCATATTGGGCAATAGGAGAACCTATAGGTCATATTGGGCAAGAGGAGAACCTATAGGTCATATAGGTTAAGAGAACGGGAGTGTTGACAATACCCTCTGTTTTGGCCCACAGAGGTGGCAGTTGAGAGGTGCCCAGACATGGTGGATGGTTATTGGGGTGATTAGCTCTCCTCTAGCCAGGAAGGAGGCTCTGTGCCGGGCATGGGTAGCTTGGTGCTTGCCTCCAGGTGCTGGTGGTTGGAGGTGTTGTAGGAGGCTACAGCACCATGGAACAATACCAAATGATGGTGGAGCACCTTTACCTGGGGGGGGGGGGGGGGAAGAGAGGTGGGGGAGGAGGGGAGAGAGAGGGGGGGGGGGGAGGGGGGAGGATGGGGGAGAGAGTTGGAGACGGGAGGGGGTGTTTGGGGGGCATTTTTTAGGGGTGCGGGAGTGATGGGATTGGGGAGGGGCTCGAGTGTTGGGGTTTTGGGGGTTTGGATGTGTTGGAGTGTTTGGAGTGGTTGGGTTTTGTGGGGTTCCTTGGGATGCGGGGTGTGTGTGCTGTTTTAGTGGCGGTTGGGGTTTCTTTTTTTGGTTGGGGTCTAGTTTTCTTTGTTGGGGAGGGGTCTCTGGGGTGGGACTTGGTAGATTTTGTCTTTTTATTGGGGGTTGGGGGAGTTGGGATTTGGGTTGATTTGAAATTTGGTTGATCTCGGGAGGTATGGGGGGATGGGGCAGGGGAGGGGAAAGATTTTGGGGGCATGTGTTTTTAGCTGGGTGGTGACCCGTTGAGCTGGTACTCGGCTTGCGGGGGGTCCTTTTCTTCTTAGCTTAGTTCCGTTGGAGACCCGTTTGACTGTTTTTTAGCATCTACTGTTCACTCATCTCGCTATCTCTTAGCGAAATTTTTGGGGAGAGAGAGGGAGAGGAGAGGAGGGGGGAGGGGGGTAAGAGTGTTTCTCCCACTTCTACATCCAGTGAAACAGGACTAATACATTCCATCTCTTCTCCTTACCTTATTCTCCTCTAGTAGTTGAAACAGGACTAATCCATTCCATCTCTTCTCCTTAACAGGACTAATCCATTCCATCTCTTCTCCTTAACGGGACTAATCCTTCCATTCTTTCTCCTTAACAGACTAATACCATTCCATTCGACTATCTTCCCTTCCTTAACAGGACTAATCCATTCCATCTCTTCTCCTTAACATGACTAATCCATTCCATCTCTTCTCCTTAACAGGACTATACCATTCCATCTCTTCTCCTTAACAGGACTAATACCATTCCATCTCTTCTCCTTAACAGGACTAATACATTCCATCTCTTCTCCTTAACAGGACTAATCATTCCATCTCTTCTCCTTAACAGGACTAATACCCATTCCTCTCTTCTCCTTAACAGGACAATCCATCCTCTCTTCTCCTAACAGGAATAATTACCATTCCATCTCTTCTCCTTAACAGGACTAATACCATTCCATCTCTTCTCCTTAACAGGACTAATCCATTCCATCTCTTCTTCCTTAAACAAAGGAACCTAATCCATTCCATCCTTCTTCTACTTAACAGGACGAATCCCATTCCATCTCTTTCTCCCTTAACAGGACTAATCCATTCCATCTCTTCTCCTTAACAGGACTAATTCATTCCATATCTTCTCCTTACCTTATTCTCCTCTAGTAGTTGGAGTTTGACTGACAGGTCGTTTCGGCTCTTCTCATATTTCTCTCTCTGGTTCTGGAAGGTTCTCTGGGCCTGCTCAAGTTTGACGAGGGTGGCGGAGTCTCGAGCTCCCAGGTTCAACTCCTCCAGGTCACAACGGTATGCATCGTACTCTAACCCTGTATAAGGACCAACTAAAATCTGTTTGGGAAATTTACCAATCATCCCGATGTGGCCCTTGAGCCAAAATGACCCCTGGCCTAGTGAGATGACAGAAAGGCTTCTGTGTTGCATGCTCTGCGTGTGCTACCTGGCTGTCTCGTAGTGTTGGACGTTGACCATGGTGTCTTCTATAGTTTTGTTAACCAGTGTGTTCATATCGGAGGTGAAGGAGTTCACAGCCGAGACCAGAACCTCTCCGCTCTTAGACAGGAACCTCTGGGTGTCCCCGTTCAGACCAAACTCTACCTGAGAAAAGCAGACCAGAGGAAGACAGTTACAACACAAAAACGGTTTAAAACATTCCCGCCTGTGGCCTAGGGTGGTCGGAGAGGATTTGATCCTGTATTTTTAAGCCTCATCCAGAAATGAGAAGTCGTCTGAGGATGGTACTGGCTCATCTGAAAACACAAGGGGACCGTTGGATGAAAAAGCTTTCAATAAAGGTTCAAATCTAACTATTAATACAATCTAATCTATCTAATTTAAATAAAAAGGTTACAATCCAGGTCAATAAAGTAATGAAATAATGAATGGTCATGTGACATGATTGCACAAAACACAGAGCCCATGAAGAGGCTTTGAAGTGAACGAGCCTAAATAATATGATCCTTATCCATATTATATCCATATTATATCATATGATCCTTATCCATATTATAACCATATTATATCATATGATCCTTATCCATATTATAACCATATTATATCATATGATCCTTATCCATATTATAACCATATTATATCATATGATCCTTATCCATATTATATCCATATTATATCATATGATCCTTATCCATATTATAACCATATTATATCATATGATCCTTATCCATATTATAACCATATTATATCATATGATCCTTATCCATATTATAAACCATATTATATCATATGATCCTTATCCATATTATAACCATATTATATCATATGATCCTTATCCATATTATAACCATATTATATCATATGATCCTTATCCATATTATAACCATATTATATCATATGATCCTTATCCATATTATAACCATATTATATCATATGATCCTTATCCATATTATAACCATATCCTTATCCATATAACAACCATATCCTTTCTTCAACATACGGTGAGAGCACCTCATACCACTTATCCATATTATAACCATATTATATCATATGATCCTTATCCATATTATAACCATATCCTTATCCATATAACAACCATATCCTTTCTTCAACATACGGTGAGAGCACCTCATACCACTTATCCATATTATAACCATATTATATCATATTGATCCTTATCCATATTATAACCATATCCTTATCCATATAACAACCATATCCTTTCTTCAACATACGGTGAGAGCACCTCATACCACTTATCCATATTATAACCATATTATATCATATGATCCTTATCCATATTATAACCATATCCTTATCCATATAACAACCATATCCTTTCTTCAACATACGGTGAGATCACCTCATACCACTTATCGATATTATAACCATATTATATCATATGATCCTTATCCATATTATAACCATATCCTTATCCATATAACAACCATATCCTTTCTTCAACATACGGTGAGATCACCTCATACCACTTATCCATATTATAACCATATATCATATGATCCTTATCCATATTATAACCATATCCTTATCCATATAACAACCATATCCTTTCTTCAACATACGGTGAGATCACCTCATACCACTTATCCATATTATAACCATATTATATCATATGATCCTTATCCATATTATAACCATATCCTTATCCATATAACAACCATATCCTTTCTTCAACATACGGTGAGAGCACCTCATACCACTAAGAAGAGGAGTGGAAAATCACCTGATATTCCTGATTCTTCTATAACTGGGTACCAGACTGTTCTGCTGTCATGGTCCTCTGTAGCTCAGCTGGTAGAGCACGGCGCTTGTAACGCCAAGGTAGTGGGTTCGATCCCCGGGACCACCCCATACACAAAAATGTAGGCGCACATGACTGTAAGTCGCTTTGGATAAAAGCGTCTGCTAAATGGCATATTATTATTATTATTATTATTATTATTATGCCACTCCTGTCATGCTAAATTTGGCATATGACACAGAGTACACGGAGTGGAAAATGAGGGCCGAGCACGCCCCCATTCACATCGACGGGGCTGTAGTGCAGCTGGTCGAGAGGTTCAAGTTCCTTGGTGTCCACATCACTAACAAACTATCATGGTCCAAACACACCAAGACAGTTGTGAAGAGGGCAAGACAAAGCCTATTCCCCCTCAGGAGACTGAAAAGATTTAGCATATGTCCTCAGATCCTCAAAAAGTTCTACAGCTGCACCATCGAGAGCATCCTGACTGGTTGCATCACCGCCTGGTATGGCAACTGCTCGGCCTCCGACCGCAAGGCACTACAGAGGGTAGTGCGTACGGCCCAGTACATCACCAGGGCCAAGCTTCCTGCCATCCAGGACCTCAATACCAGGTGGTGTCAGAGGAAGGCCCTACAAATTGCCAAAGACTCCAGCCACCCTAGTCATAGACTGTTCGCTCAGCCACCGCACGGAAAGCGGTACCGTAGTGCCGAGTCTATGTTCAAAAGGCTCCTTAACAGCTTCTACCCCCAAGCATAAGACTCCTGAACAATTAATCAAATGGCCACCTGGACTATTTACATTGACATCCCCCCTTTGTTTTTACACTGCTGCTACTCACTGTTTATTATCTATGCATAGTCACTTTACCCCTACCTACATGTACAAATTACCTCGACTAACCTGTACCCCCGCACATTGACTAGGTACCGGTACCACCTGTATATAGCCTCGTTATTGTTATTTTATTTTTTACTTTTTATTTTATTTTTTACTTCAGTTTATTTAGTAAATATTTTCTTAACTCGTATTTTTCTTAAAACTGCGTTGTTGGTTAAGGGCTTGTCAGTAAGCATTTCACGGTTGTATTCGGCAAATGTGACAAATAACATTTGATTTGATTTGATTGTTAGCAGAGAGAGACTGGTACCCAGGCTAGAGGAATGTTATCTAAACAGACTGGTACCCAGGCTAGAGGAATGTGATCTAAACAGACTGGTACCCAGGCTAGAGGAATGTTATCTAAACAGACTGGTACCCAGGCTAGAGGAATGTTATCTAAACAGACTGGTACCCAGGCTAGAGGAATGTTATCTAAACAGACTGGTACCCAGGCTAGAGGAATGTGATCTAAACACACTGGTACCCAGGCTAGAGGAATGTGATCTAAACAGACTGGTACCCAGGCTAGAGGAATGTGATCTAAACAGACTGGTACCCAGGCTAGAGGAATGTTATCTAAACAGACTGGTACCCAGGCTAGAGGAATGTTATCTAAACAGACTGGTACCCAGCTAGAGGATGTATCTAAACAGACTGGTACCCAGGTAGAGGAATGTGATCTAAACAGACTGGTACCCGGCTAGAGGAATGTGATCTAAACAGACTGTACCCAGGCTAGAGGAATGTATCTAAACAGACTGGTACCCAGGCTAGAGGACTGTTATCTAAACAGACTGGTACCCAGGCTAGGGAATGTGATCTAAACAACTGGTACCCAGGCTAGGAATGTGATCTAAACAGACTGGTACCCAGGCTAGGGAATTTATCTAAACAGACTGGTACCCAGGCTAGAGGAATGTTATCTAAACAGACTGGTACCCAGGTTAGGGAATGTTATCTAACAGACTGGTACCCAGGCTAGAGGAATGTGATCTAAACAGACTGGTACCCGAGCTAGAGGAATGTTTCTAAACAGACTGGTACCCAGGCTAGAGGAATGTATCTAAACGACTGGTACCCAGCTAAGGAACTGGTCATCTAAAGCAGATGTGTAACCAGGCTAGGGAATGTCATGCTAAACAGCTGGTACACCAGGCTAGGGATGTGATCTAAAAGACTGTACCCAAGCTAGAGGACTGGTACTAAACAGGACTGTATCTAAGGCTACGAGGAAGTTGGATCTAAACAGACTGGTACCCAGGCTAGAGGAATGTTATCTAAACGACTGGTACCCGGCTAGAGGAATGTTATTAAACAGACTGGTACCCAGGTTAAGGGAATGTTATCTAAACAGACTGGTACCCAGGCTAGAGGAATGTTATCTAAACAGACTGGTACCCAGGCTAGAGGAATGTTATCTAAACAGACTGGTACCCAGGCTAGAGGAATGTTATCTAAACAGACTGGTACCCAGGCTAGAGGAATGTGATCTAAACAGACTGGTACCCAGGCTAGAGGAATGTGATCTAAACAGACTGGTACCCAGGCTAGAGGAATGTGATCTAAACAGACTGGTACCCAGGCTAGAGGAATGTGATCTAAACAGACTGGTACCCAGGCTAGAGGATGTGATCTAAACAGACTGGTACCGCAGGCTAGAGGATGTGATCTAAACAGACTGGTACCCAGGCTAGAGGATGTTATCTAAACAGACTGGTACCCAGGCTAGAGGAATGTTATCTAAACAGACTGGTACCCAGGCTAGGGGAAGTGTTATCTAAACAGACTGGTACCCAGGCTAGAGGAATGTTATCTAAACAGACTGGTACCCAGGTTAAGGGAATGTTATCTAAACAGACTGGTACCCAGGCTAGAGATGTGATCTAAACAGACTGGTACCCAGGCTAGAGGAATGTTGATCTAAACAGACTGGTACCCAGGCTAGAGGAATGTGATCTAAACAGACTGGTACCCCAGGCTAGAGGAATGTGATTAAACAGATGGTACCCAGGCTAGAGGAATGTGATCTAAAAACAGACCTGGGTAACCACCCAGGCTAGAGGAATGTGATCTAAACAGACTGGTACCCGGGCTAGAGGAATGTGATCTAAACAGACTGGTACCCAGGCTAAGAGAAATCGTAATCTAAACAGACTGGTACCCAGGCTAGAAAAATGTGATCTAAACAGACTGGTCCCCAGGCAAAGGGGAAGTTTTCTAAACAACGGGCCCCCCAGGCAGAGGAATGTTA